AATCCTGCTGCTTATCACTTCTCATAGCCCCTTAATATTTCATTATAATCATGTATCACAACTTCTTTAATCTTTCCCCAATGATGGGTATCATCTAAATTTAAAATTCTTTACTTCAAAATTTGCTGCTATAAATATTTTTATACATGTGGGTCCTTTCCTCTTTTTATTATCTCTTGGGGAAACAGACTTAGTAGTGATATTTCTGGGTCAAAGGGCATGCACAGTTTGATAGCACTTGGAACATAATTCCAAATTGCTTTCCAGAATGATTGGATTAGTTCATAACCCCAACAGTGCATTAGTGTCCCCATTTCCCCACATCCCCTCCAACACTTACTATTTTCCTTTTCTGTCGTATTAGCCAACCTGAAAGGTGTGAGGTGGTACTTCAGAGTTGTTTTAATTTGTATTTTTCTAATCAGTAGTGATTTAGAACATTTTTTCTATGACTGTAGATACCTTTGATTATTTTGTCTGAAAACTGACAGTTCATATCCTTTGACAATTTGTCAATTGGGTAATGGCCTGCCTTCTTAGATATTTGACTCAGTTCTCCATATATTTGAGAAATTAGGCCTTTGTCAGAGACACTTGCTACAAAAATCATTTCTTAGCTATCTTTCTTCTAATATTGACTGCATTGGTTTTGTTTGTGCAAAACCTTTTTTAATTTAATATAAGCAATATTGTTTATTTTACATCTAGTAATGCTCTCTTTCACTTGCGTAGTCATAAATTCCTACCTTTTCTATAGATCTATCTGTAAACTATTCCATGTTTCTCTAATTTGCTTATGATATCACACTTTATTTTAAAATCATGTACCTGGAAGGGTGGAGCCAAGATGGCAGAGTGACTTGCTTGAGTTCTCCCCCAAACCCCTCCAAATGCTTATAAAAATAGCTCTAAACAAATTCTAAAGCAGCAGAACCCACAAAAAGTGAAACAAATTTTCAGTCCAAGACAAACTGGATGCTTGATCTGAAAGGTATATTGTGATGAGCAGGGAGAGGGGTGCAGTTCTGCATGGGCGCGCAGGCAGGACAGGCCTCAGCAAACCTGGAGCAGGCCTCAGAGGACTAAATTACAGGCATCTGTGGTGGTTTCCAGAACTCTCAACCCATGAACACCAAAGACAACTTAGAAGGTCGGTGGGAAAAGTCTGTGTCTGAGGTGAGAGAGAGAAGCATGGTTGTCTCAGCTCCAGTCTCAGTCTGGCCCCAGGGCAGTGGCTGCCACCTGAGCTTCCAGCCCACCCCTACTGAGGGGGAATCAAGTGCCTGATCAGAAGGGGATTGCAGGGAACTCTTTGCTGGTGCAGGATTCTCTTGTTTTGCCCATGCTTAGATCTGGGTCACAGTTCTGGGTGGTGGTCCTGGGGCGAGGAGGAGTGCTGGCATGATAGAGCTTGTAGTAGCTATGGAGAAGAAATCCTCCTCACAGTTCCAAGACAGAAAAGAGTGCTTTTGGTCACTCATAGACCAGAGCACAGGCCAGGAAAGGGGTAAACACCTCGCTTTTGATCATAGCACCTTGGAAGAACTTAAAATTACAGGTCCCTAGAAGTATCTCTGAAAACAGATGCACAAAGCCACTGAAGCTTGGGACAGTACATTATCTACACTGGAAACAGACCTCTACCTTAACAAAGAGTTTATACCTCAAGTAATTGGCTGGGATCATGAACATACAGGGGTTCAAAAAAAGTAAAACCATTGAATCTTTCTTTCATGACAAAGAAGATCAAAACATACAACCAGAAGAAGACAACAAAGTCAAATCTCCTACATCCAAAGCATCCAAGACAAATGTGGATTGGTCCCAGGCCATGGAAAAGCTCAAAAAGGATTTTGAGAAGGAAGTAAGAGAAGTAGAGGAAAAACTGAGAGTGATGCAAGACAATCATGAAAAACAAGTCAACAGCTTGCTAAAGGAGACCCAAAAAAATACTAAAGAAAATAACACCTTAAAAAACAGCCTAACCCAAATGGTAAAAGAGGGCCAAAAAGCCAATGAGGAGAAGAATGCCCTAAAAAGCAAAATTGACCAAATGGAAAAGGAAGTCCAAAAGCTTACTGAAGAAAACACTTCCTTAAAAATTAGAGTGGAGAAATTGGAAGCTAGGAACTTTATGAGAAATCAAGACACTGTAAAACAAATCCAAAGGAGTGAAAAAAATAGAAGAGAATGTGAAATATCTCATTGGAAAAACAACTGACCTGGAAAATAGATCCAGGAGAGATAATTTAAAAATTATTGGACTACCTGAAAGTTATGATCAAAAAAAGAGCCTAGATATCATCTTTCAAGAAATTATCAAGGAAAACTACCCTGATATTTTAGAACCAGAGGACAAAATAGAAATTGAAAGAATCCATTGATCACCTCCTGAAAGAGATCACCAAAGGAAAACTCCTAGGAATATTGTAATCAAATTTCAGAGTACAAGGAGAAAATATTGCAAGCAGCCAGAAAGAAACAATTCAAGTATTGTGGAAACACAATCAGGATAACACAAGATTTAGCAGCTTCTACATTAAGGGACCACAGGGCATGGAATATAATATTCTGGAAGGCAAAGTAGAGAAGATTGCAACCAAGAATCACCTATCCAGCAAAACTGAGTATAATCCTTCAGGGTGAAAAATGGTCATTCAATGAAATAGGGGACTTTCAAGCATTCTTGATGACAATACCAGAGCTGAATAGAAAATTTGACTTTCAAATACAAGACTCAAGTGAAACATGAAGAGGTAAACAGGAAAGTGAAATCATAAGAGCCTTCTTAAAGTTGAATTGTTTCCATTCCTGCATGGAAAGATGATATTTGTAACTCATGAGTTCTTTGTCAGTATTAGGGTAGTGGGAGGGAAAAAATGTATATGTATGTATGTATAGATAGACAGGTAGATAGATAGATAGATAGATAGATAGATAGATAGATAGATAGATAGATAGAT